TAAATGTGTAAATTAACTCTATATGTTACTTAGACCAGAAAAGCTATGGATTATATATGTAACTATTATTTTATATTTTATGATGTTTTCCTAGCAACTAGTAAATCATAAAGTATAAAATAGATATATAAAATAAGATAATGTTTGTTAGATTTTGCAAACCGTTATATTATATTTCCCAGCATAATTTTAATATCATGATGGTCTTAAACTAACAGAACGTAATAATTTACTTTTCCTGGAATCTAATGATTGTACGAAAAAGTATCAATCATAAATCATTTTAAAAAGTCATTAATTTCTAAAGCAAGTTGAAGTACAAATTTTTTAAAGTATCTGATCTCTTAGAGAAAAGATTCTCTTACGTAGCTTCGCGTCTAACACTCTATAATGACAGATTCGTGTAATGATAATAATTATTCCGGCGGGAGCTCTTGTTTCTTCAATTATTCCTAGGTTGGAATGCGTCAAAGTCGAAACTGCTATTACTTGATCCATTATTAATTTCCATTATTGTAGATGGTATTGATCCATTATTGTAGATTTAAATGTCTGCTTCGAAACCTACATCACGGTCCATCCGCTGAATGTGAACTAGATAGCATTTATATACAAAGTGATTAAAAAAAAAATACTTGAGAAATGTATTGGTATAATTAATGTTATAATGTTACGTGTTGTACATTATTCGATTGTTAAATTGTTAAAGAGGAATTTTTAAAGGATTGTCACTTTTCTCTATAACTCTTGTCTGAATATTTAAAAAATGAAGATTTAAATATCATATAAATTTTTTTTCAATGTTGCTTGTCTAAATACTTAAATATAAAAATTTCCGTCAATTGCTAAATATTTATACTAAATAAATGACAAATTTTAATTACGCGTGATCTTAAAATAGACTTGAAAATTAGATTATTTATCTCGAATGCTTACAATGTTTTTAAAATATAAATACTAAATTGTTTTATATGCTCATTATATACCAGAGTATGTATGAATTTAAAAAAAAACAATATTTATAATATTTACCGCTTTTATCATTTTTCTTAGATTTTTGAATACCAGTTTGATGAGAACTTGCAATCGTTTCATTTTCCTGTATATTATACTAGCTTCCATTAACGTATTTGTCTTATTTTCTGCATCCAGGTTTTGAATATGCATTTGTCCGATGATATATGTACAAGATCAAGTAATTTTAAGCAGCTCTTCCGTTCAATATTCCAGGAATATAATCACCAATAATGTACCTTGTCTCATTGCCTTTTAATGTGAATGTCTTTTATTGTCATACTTAGCTGTTGTATATTTATCTTCTTTCTTTAGGGAAATGCTGTCGTGTCCGAATGTAGTTCTATCAATTGTTTTTCCACCCATTTCACTGAATATGTAAAATTATAACAGGCGCCACAAAAATTGCAGTTGGCGTCTTGTCCTGACGGCGTGTGGTATCTCCGCATCCAAAATTGCTGAAGTATTATCGATACGTGCACTTTCTTCGAGTATTTCTTCGTATATTTGATATCCATAGTATCGTAAATTTTACCACAGGCATTGCATATTGCTCTATATCCAGATAAGCGTTTGTAATATATCCAGCAATTGTGTAAGACCGCTCTGTCGTTATTGAATATTTTGTGCTCTTTTAATAAGTGCAATCCTGCTTTCTTCGAGAGTCTCCCATTTGCAACTTCGTAAATTTTATTACACAAATTGCACTTCGCCAACGAATCTTCTATTTCAGTATAATTTGTCCACAACCAGTTATCGTCCGTTTCCATTATATCTTCGTAACAGCGTTTATTACTAAATGTGATACAGAGGAATGTCGCAAGAACTGTTCGGAAAAGGTTCGAACAGAGACGTGTAGTCCTTTATGCTAGAATATAAATATTGATATACAATTTGAATTTCTCTACCTAGATGTCTCTCTATTGTAAGATAGATGTCTCTCTGTGTCTTTAATTACTTGACTACCGCAATTTTCAAATTATACTAAAGCATATTTTCCCAATAAATTCTTTACAATGTTTTAAGATGCTTATTATACTAGCATCAATATCATTAAATTGCTTTCCAATTTAATTTATGATGTTACTTTTTTAATTTAGGATTGCGTTTTAGTACCAAAAATTAAATCGACGCGCAGTTTGCAGAACTGGATATGTACGTAAATTCAAAAAGAACAAAAACCTATTTCAGACTGAAAGGGCAGGTCCTTCCTTAGTTATGTTAAAATTGAATTCTTTCAGATTAGTCTAATCATTAAAGTACATGTACAAATATACTTAAATGTAAAATTTAACGTACTACTATTGTACTTAACTTGATATTGATATGTTTTACAAATTAATCAAGTGTGATAAAATTATCACGAATTATATCAAATTAAATTTTATATTTTTGAAAAAGCTTAAATCTTGTATTATTCGTATTTAATTCCAATTGACATAATTCTTATATTATTTCGTAAAAAAATAGATTTAATATAAAATTGTCTAAAATATTCTTGAGAAATTAACATTTTTTATTTAAAATTACTTTTAATTATTTACATATTACATTTGACTCTTTTTATAAAATATATGTTAATATAATATTTCTTGGTATAATATCTTTTTTAAAAAATGCGTTTAATGTTTTCTTTTACTTTTAAAAGATTTTGCTTTACTTGATTTTAATTTTAACTTTTTTTAAATAATTTTATATATCTAATTTAGGGCAAAATTAAGGACAGAAGTCTATTTATAATTTTTTCCGTATTACATACTATACAAAAATTATAGAAATTTATTCGAATTCCTTAGCGACTTATTCGTTAAACTGATATACGACGAATTATTTCAAGAACGTGCAACTTTCATAATAATGCGTAACCATGACGTGACAAACGTTTTACCGCGGCGGTCGCGATTCACCGCGAAAATTCACGTGCGAAATTTCGATTCGTCAAACTCTTTCGTCTCGCAGCGAGTTTCGTCCGCGATGACGCGGGGAGAATTTCGAAAGTGCGAAAATGCGGACGAGTCGCCATTATTGCGCCGTCCGCGTCGGTGTGCACCGTGCAATTAGGATCAAGCAACGGTGCAGGCGCGTGCATTTCTTTCTCCTTGACGAACAATCGAGCAAAATGAACTCTCGGATGTTCCAGCCGCGGTCAGCGGCCGAACTAATTGCGACCCGCGTAATTACTGCGCTTCGAAAACGCTATACACGCCGCCGCTGCCGCCACCGATGGACTGGTCTGGTACAAAAGAAGGGCGCGGGTTATCAGCTTCCAAGATGGAAATCATCAATACTCTCCGCAAATTCCTTCCGCCCGCACATCCCCACCCCATCGTCGCACGATTTCCGAGTGAAATAAAGCGGAATCGTGGACGCGCACACACGCGCGCGTACACGTCCGCAGTGGCTCGTTATTTCCGCAATTACTTGTTCGATAAATTACAACCGCGAGCATCGCGTAATAGTTCGATTTGACATTCCGAACACGCGCGCGCGGAAAGGACGGCGTGACCGTTGCTCGCTCCCGTTGCCTGCGAGGGATGATGGTAGCCCGCGTCGCTCAGAGCAACGCTCGTATCCGACCGCGTTTACAAAAATAGGGCGACTTATGCGTCGCAATTAATCCCGCCACTCGCGTCAGTCGCGCACGGCGCGGCGGAATGAACGACTGACGTAGCGGGAGCGGCAGTTTTTTAACTGCTTGAGCTCCACGCGCGCGCTCGTTCACCACCGCTCCTCCGTATTCCCGTTGCCTCAATTATTCATCGGCTCGCGCGCATCGTGCTCGCCGAGAGCGTTGTCAGGCTACGCCGAGAAACTGCACCGTAGAAAACCGTCCATTTGCCCCGGTTCCGCCCGCGGAAGCGTGCCCCCTTTTTTTGCAACCTTCTCGAATGACATTTGAGAGAAGTGCACTCCGTTCGTATACGAGTTCCGTTTACTCGTCGGTATATTCTCCGCTGCAATGCATTATATGTGACCTTCGATTTACCGCGATGTTCTCGATAATAACTCTCATAAATGAAGTGCTTCAAATATGTTGAGTTATGTACTCTTCTTCTTTCTAAAGAAGTTGTTAAAATAGAAAATCTTTTTGATTTAATTTAATATATCCAGTATATATATATTCGCTTGAAACAATTTATTTCTAATATTAATTTTTCATTTAATTTGATATAAATATTTATCCTTTGTAATTTTTAATAAATTAATATTAGAAATATGTATTACTTGTATTAAGCTTTCAAGTGACTTTTTCAAGTCAAAAGTCGACGTGAATTTTAAACGTGTATGTCTTATAACAACTTATTTCAAATTCAGTTTGCTCATTTCACAAATGTGTCCCGTAAAATATCTGTGTTGATCCAACCTTTAATGAGTCAGATGAATACTAGGAATTCTCGGCGACATTCGAGTGAACTCATAAAGTATGCGTGGCGCGAGTACAATTACACTTCTCGTTGAACGTGTTAACCCATTGGCTTATCACTTTCGACATCGTAAACTGAGTTACCTTCATTCTCCAATCTTTTTTACTCTAATCTTAAATACACTTAATTACTGCGCGACATTGCTCAATATTATTATATAACCACACACATTCTATTTGAAATTAAGACCGATAGAGAACTAATGAAGAATTCACTGTCACGATACAAAATTACGTAATCTGAAAATTGATGTTTCAATATTTTGACAAAGAGAAAGGAATATTAGAAAAAGTAAATTCTGAATTAATTTCCAAATTAGATTTCTGGAAAAGAAAGAGAGAGAGAGAGAGAGAGAGAGAGAGATTTACATATTCATGTAAATTGAAAGTAGTATTCGAATCTCTCTCGTCAGATTTTCGTCCCTGAATACCTGTGATTTCACGGAGAATTACACACGTATGACTTGTGGAAACCCATGTCATTTGGATATTCAAATCGTGAAACGCCTCCTATATTATTTGCGTCGTATATTACGCAGGTACGAATTCCGAGAAAAATAAGAAGAAAAACTCATAATCACGTCCGGGTGCTGGATTTACCTCGCAATCCTCGCAGGATTTTTACATTTCGAGGAATCCTTCCGCGATTTCGTGCCGGCTGCCGCGGTCGCGTTATCGGAATTAAAGCGCGGATCATGGACGCAACGCTCGGCAAAAATTATGCGGCGGTCGAGCGTTTGCGCTCTCGCGCTGTTTGCACTGGTGTTCGTGTACTTTACGGTGGATTCTGCAGCGGGCATCAATTTGTTGGGGCAACGGCTCAACAGAAACAAGCCCCGGCTGTTCCGCCCAGTCACGTGGAACACGATCGAGTCGAGTCGAAGGGGACGAAACGCGTTTCCCATCCTCCCCCCTTCGCCCCTTCGTACAACTCGCGTCCACTTTTATCCGAATTTCCTGAATTGTTAAACGCGACCCGACCGGGCGTGTTTGACACATCGTTCGACACAGTAACGCAGTCCGTTTAACGAGGATATAAACGACAGACAGAGACAAATAATTGCGGGACGTAAAACGTGTGTGCAGCACGCGGCGAGCGAATGGGATCGCGGCGTGTGTGATCCGGTTTTAAATTAAAGATTCGTAAACGTTCGTTCGCGTATCGTAACTTTCCGTCTGTTTCGACGTTCTCTGCGCTAATCACATGCCAATCGCCAGGTTGCAGTTGTTGCTCTCGTATTCAATCGCTACACTTTCTCCAAAGCCGCGGGTTTGTATACCCTCCGGATTCGGCCTTCAATCTCATTCATTCGACTTCGCTCCGTAACACACACATACACATCTGCGAATGACGTCGTTGTGCGAACAATCTCGCAAATTATTTCCGGACTACAAAAGGTAAGGGGGATACACGTGAAACATTCACTTTACGAGAACGTAAATTGAAATACAGGAGCGAGATTCTTTCTCTTTCTCTCTCTCTCTCTCTCTCTCTCTTTTGTTACATTGCGTTTCTTTATTTTTGTTTCTGTTCTTTCGACAATTTTTTATTATCTTTTACTTGCATTTATCTCGTTTACTTCGCATATTTTTATTATTTTTTCTGTATTAGTTTATTATTTTTCTTTTAGTTATTCATTTTTATTCTTTATTTTGTATTTTTTTCTATTTCTGTTTCTGTTCTTAGAGGGCTTGCCCTAAAACGACAATAAAAGCGGTTATCTCTCTCTCTCTCTCTCTCTCTCTCTCTCTCTCTCTCTCTTCCCTTCTCTCTCTTTCTTTCTCTCTGTTGGATTTGTCTCAAATATGTTTCTATTGAGGTGCTCGCACTTTTCTTAGTTTCCCGAGAATCAACTCTGGTACAATCGGTAACTTCGGTGAAACGGAATCCTTTTGAGAATTTGCAAAGGGAAAAACTCGCCTTCTCCGAATCCGCATTCGGATGTAAGAAGAGGGTTTTTGTGTTGCACGACTGTCGCGGAAAGTCGGAAGCGCGTGAAGGAGATCGAAAACGCGATTTAGCGAGATCGATCGAACATCCCCGTCGAACATTCCTCAGCCACCGCGAATGCAGGGCTTCGATCCCTTCGTGGAAAAACGATCGCGGGGGAGGAAGTATCCGACAGCTCGGAACAGAAAGATCCTCTCGGCAGTGTGGTCCCGGCGAGGCGTATACACGCGCCTCCGAGCGCCTTCGCGGAAAATGCAATTAAACTAGGTACATCGCAGTAACGGGGGCCGAGAGCTTTGCGCGCCGTCGTCGATATTAAGCGAGAAAGTTATCGCATCAAACGCAATCTGCCGCCGTCAAACTGTAACGCAATAACGGACGAGAGGAATTCTTGTTGAAAGTTCGCCGCCGGAAATGGACGCGAGATGCGCGCCATTTTAGAATTTACTCTTCCTTCCGAAGGTT